TCCACTGACGCTGCCGCGGGCTCCTCTGGCTGTTGGTCCATTTTCTGCGTGGTTGCGGGCATGGTTGGTTGGACGGCGGCTGGATGGGCCCGGGGCACCTGCGACAACTGGTCACCTGGCCTCTTTCATTACGTACATAAGCCGCGCGCCCTTAGGTGAACCGGTGCCGTTCTCGGGCGATATGAGACAGCATGGTCTCCGTCTCGTTTTGTCATCAATACTGCAGCTTGCCTTATCATCTCTGGTACCAGTGTTGACATGCCTGCCAGCTTCCGGCTTACATGCTCCATATCTGCTTTGATAGGACTGAGATAACAACCACGCGTCGCGCGAGGGCCATTGTGCGACGTCCGTGTTTCACAGACTTCCTATTGCATGCGGAAAATCGGAGCATAACTAATTTTGATCCAAAAGTAGTGCAGTTGCCCATCTCTCCGGATTGTCTCTCCGTCCTGCGCCACAACCATGAATAGGATTGTGAGTTCCCCACACTTGGCCATAAGAGGAGCTTCATTATAGTACGGAGTATACGCATACAAATGCAATAGCATTCTGACCGTTATCTGGGGTATGGAAAGCATGAGGGGCTCAACCGCTGGGACATGGAGAGATGGAGTGTCCGCGGAATTTTGACGAACAAAATCAGATTATATTCGTGCTAAATTGTGGTAAGAAGGATGCTTCGATTTTGAAGACGTTTGTATGACCTTGCTCAATTTTTTTTTTTTTTAATTTTTTTGGCCTCATCTTTGTCATCTACACTGACTCCAAAAGCACATGGAATATTCCCATGTTGAACAAGCAAGGTAAGTATGTCTACTGATTCTTACTTATGTAATCACCCTCTCGGGTCGATCCGACCCACTTTGTCTCGCGAGCACCTTAGTGGTTTACCCCGTAGCTGCATGTAGGACACTGACTGACAGGGCCAGGAGCTCCTGATGCTTGCATGTCATGCCAGACATTCAATCGCTCCAGTCCATATGCGCCTCCATCACCAACTAGTTACCAACAAGGCCCCGTCATTCACTGATACAGAATCTTCCCAGACCAATGGGACCCCATACACGGACATGGTCAACAAAGTGCAATAGCCTCACTGTCGTCCTCGAACCCTGCGCATAAGGTGGCCTGCCGAGGAGGTTGCGGCCATAATGTATTGGCCCATTGGCACTCCACGCATTTATGCCACCAGCAGCAGTCGCGCTCCCGATCTCAACCTCGTCGTGTCCTATGACGGCCTCCAGCAGCCCGACGCATCCAGTTCCTCGTCATCACTCGGCAAAGATGGACAGTCCCGAGCTGCTGCCGACGACGTCGACTTTCAACACCCCTCTCCTACTCCATTGACGCCAGCCACGCCGGCTGTCCAGCCCGTCCTGGGAGACGACTTGTTTCCTTCAGCAAAGAGCTCCTCGCCCTCGATTGATTCGCGAAACAGAGCTACAGTTCCATTGAAAGATCCCGTACTTGCCCTAGCCGTCACCCGTACTGCTCACCTGTTTGGCGTCATCACGACAACAAGCATTACTTTGTGGCAAACCAAGGTCGGACCAACATTTTGCCCTTGCCCCCAAGTAGGCCATGATAATAGCTAACACGTTGCAGCCTACCGTTATACTTGCAGTCGTCGTGCGATCCGAGTCTTCTATCCAATCTTACGGAACCAATGTCGACCTCTTATTGCGTCCAGACTCTGCCATACTAGTGGTTCATACTTCCAAAGGATACCTCATCACCTATTCAATTGCTACCGATGGCGAGTCGTGTGTCTATAAACCCCAATTTCCAAACCACCACAACGTCCAACGGCGAAAACAAAGTCTGATTGGGCCCCAAGCAGCGCTGAGAGGAGACCAAATTCTCTGGGGTCCAGGAGAAGGCTCAGGGGTCCGCGACGTCAGCGTGCGATTCCGAATGGTGATCAAGATCGATGCTGGTATTGAAAGTGCCTTGGCACTCGATGACGAATTGGTTGTGGCGACAAGGAAGCCCGCCGCTGTTCAATGCATCCGATGGACTCCGGACAGCACGGGCAACCAGACGAGAACCGAGATTATAAGCAAGATGGGGTGGGTCGAGAATAAGACGTCTATTCTAGAGATGACATACGACAGACCCATGAATTTAGCGACCTGGATCACCAGCGATGGACGAGTATACGCGGTACAAAGACAACAATCGAAGGAGGACTTGGATTCTGAAGGTGTGGACGCAAAGCGTCTATTTAAAGGCTACTGTTTTCATATTCCTGAAACCACTGCGAGCCACGCCGTCAAGGCTGTTATAAATGCCCGATTTTCATTGATTGCGGCGGGATGCGCCGACGGGACAGTTTACGTTTACTCTGTTCGAGATTACTCGGGTAATATTGTGCTCTCACATAAGCATAAGATCCCCGTTTCAAACGCCGCTACTGGAGCTTTCACTTCCCTTTGCTACTCCCCTGACGGATATTGCCTTTTTGCTGGATTTGAAAAGGGATGGTCGACATGGAGTATGTTTGGCAAACTAGGTAGCAACAGTTTCGGGTCCGATGCACGCCTTTCCAGCGGGAATGATGAGCAGTGGCTGACCGGAGTGTCGTCAGCTTCGTGGATCGGAGGCGGTTCTGAAATCCTACTTGCAGGCCCTTGCCACGAAGCCATTTGGAGTTTGGAAATGGCCAAGAACGCAGTCACGGGCTGTTATAATGAAGCAAACGTCTTTCGGACGGTCCTTCAGACCCCGGCTGCAGTTATGGTGTATCGAGGATATGACCTCCCCGATATGACGAGCATCTCAGCCGAGCCCTTTCTGTGGCACACAGCCAGGATACCTCCAACATATTTGTTAAATCAGTGGCCCATCCGCCAGACGGTCATATCTGCAGATGGAAGATACGTCGCCGTCGCCGGCCGCCGTGGCCTTGCACATTATAGCGTCAATAGCGGCCGATGGAAGACATTTACAACTGAAGCCATGGAAAACGATTTTCAAGTCCGAGGCGGCATGTGCTGGTATCAGCATATTCTCGTTGCTGCAGTCGAGAGCGACAGGAGCTTCGAGCTGCGCCTGTTCTCAAGAGAAACACCTCTCGACATGGCTCAAGTATTATTCCGCCAGCATATCCCTGCACCAGTTGTGCTCGTGACCACGTCTGGTGAAGATTCTCTTCTTGTTTACACATATGAGAATATTTTGTATCATTTCATATTTACCCCGTGGGCGGATTCTGTTCGTCTTGTTCAGGCGGGACAGATTGCGTTTCATGGCATAGTACGATCTCCTGCTAGAGTTCGAGGGCTCAGCTGGATATTACCTGAATCTCAGATGGTAGATGGGGACCCGTCTCAGGATGTGGCTGTAGCATCCGTGATATTCTTGGTGGACGGTAAACTAGTTCTTCTGAGCCCTTCGCTCAATGAAGAGGGCCAGTTGAAGTACGATATGCGTATTATTGCTCAAAACGTCGAGTACCACGCTAGCATGAGAAATCAGCCCCTACTCAATGTGGCCCATTTATCAGACGATCCGTCACTCAGACGTGGCCCGCCTGCGTTGAAAGATTCTCTATGGGTCTTCGACGGCGTGGAGGTGAAGGCGTGGGCTAACATTAACGAACTGCTGAATGGTGCTTCGACCGATGGCGGCAAAGACTTTCCTGCACCCGTATCTGTTCCCGTGGATTTTTATCCACTGTCAGTTCTACTGGAAAAGGGCATAATACTAGGAGTTGAATCAGACTTGGTCCAAAGGCGGGATGTGACGTTTTCTTTTTTCCATTTCGCCATCAGGGTAAGTAGCACGGAGAACCGTATTGCTCGACGGAGTAGTTGTGCTGACTGTAATTAGACACACCTGTTTCTGCCCGAGATTTTGCGCTTTTACCTGCGACAGGGCAGAACGATTGAAGCGGGAGAGCTCTGTGAACAATATCAAAATTTGGAGTACTTGTCACACGGATTGGAGATTTTGCTTCATCGTGTCCTGGACGAGGAAGCAGATACATGTCCGAAACCTGAAGACGCTGTTCTTCCCCGGGTGCTGTCTCTTCTGTCAGCATCATCTAAAGAGTATCTAGACGTGGTGCTACAGTGCACTCGCAAAACAGAGGTGCGGCAATGGAAGACGTTGTTTGCTTACTTGCCTCCAGCGCAAGAGCTGTTTGAGGAATCACTGCAACGGGGATCACTCAAAACCGCAGGCGGCTACCTGATCGTGCTGCACACACTTGAGGAATTCCAGTCGCTAACCGACCAGTCTGTACGCGTCTTGTCGAGGGCAATCCAGGAAGGGGACTGGGAGTTGTGCAAAGAACTCGCCCGTTTCTTAGCGGCTATGGATGAGACGGGAGAAGTGCTCAAGGAAGTGATGGAGATGGTAAATATGGGACAAAAGCAAGGACGTGCTCCCCAGGAGATAGTGAGTCGGCTGAAGATTCCGGGTCCAAGGGTTGCCAATGGCACTAGAAGAAGTAGTAGGGATGATGGTGAGGAGACCGAGTCTGATTTACCGTCGGCAAGCGACGCGTCTAGTGTTGGGTCAACGGCCAGTCCTTTTAACGGAGCTAGGTCGCCATGAAGCGGGAATCATACGTGGCAGGCAGGCGTGTGTACAAATGCATGGGCAGGAGGGGGAATTTCATATAGCTAGACGGGCGGTATCTTGGGGTTACGATATTAGAAAACTAGCGGGAATACCATTATTGCATTTTCTTTTAAAAAAAATTAAATTAAAAAAATAATTTAAAAATTGCAATAGGCGGTCCAGACTGGTTGCAAGTTGACCATTGCATTCAATGTAGTCGCTTGAAGTGGTGAGGTTTTGCCTCGCGCCTTCAATGCCAGTCACGTTATCGCACCAATCAACCCCGCCATGTTGCGGCCCGCCAATCTCGCTGCAAGTGCATGCAACACAAAAACCACTTCCCAAAGTCAACCCATCCTAGCGACGGTCGGCATCACGTACAACCCTCCCATCCCAGCACATTGAAGCTCTCTGGTAGCTTGCCTAGAATGATGGACGACTATGTTAGCGAGTCTGATAGTGACTACACGAGTTATTGGCGTGACTGGGTACGTATGGTTTTGCTCATCCCGGCACTCGATCCATCCCATTTCCCCCAAGGATCTACTTACTGCCTGTCCCTCATGGCCCAATGTGGAAAAAAGACCAGCTACATACCCAGATGTAACGAGACAGCTAATCGCGCGCACTGCAGTTCATCTCATCCCGTGGCAACGAGTACTTTTGCGAAATCGACGAAGACTACCTCACCGACCGATTCAACCTGACAGGTCTCAACACCGAGGTCCAGTACTACCAGTATGCACTGGACCTGGTCACCGATGTGTTTGACCTCGACTGCGACGACGAGATGCGCGAGACGATTGAGAAGTCGGCTCGGCATCTGTACGGGCTCGTGCACGCGCGGTTCATCGTCACGACGCGGGGGCTCACAAAGATGGTACTGCTTCTTCTTTTCCTTGTAGATTCCCTACCCGTTCATCTCCAGGCGCTAACGGACTTTTTTCTTTTCTTTCAAACAGCTGGACAAGTATAAAAAGGCCGAGTTTGGGAAATGCCCCCGGGTGAACTGCCACTCGCACCCGCTGCTGCCCATGGGGCTGAGCGACGTGCCCAACGTCAAGCCCGTCAAGCTGTTCTGCGCGCGCTGCGAGGACATTTACAACCCCAAGTCGAGCCGGCACGCGACCATTGACGGCGCCTACTTCGGCACGTCTTTCCACAACATCATCTTCCAGGTGTACCCGGCGCTGATCCCGACCAAGACCATGGAGAGGTATGTGCCGCGGGTGTATGGGTTCAAGGTGCACGCCTCGGCGGCGCTGGTGCGGTGGCAGTGCGTCAGGAGGGACGAGATGAGGAGGCGGCTGAGGAAGCTCGAGATTGACTCTGGCTTTGGCGTCGAGGAGGATGCCGACGACGACGACGACGAGGCCGACGAGGACCTAGAGTTTGAGGCCGTTGATGGACGGGGCGTGATGCCGATATGATGGATGGCTTTTTCAAGAGGAGGCGGGTGGGTTTCGTTGGGAGGATTTTCTCCTCTTTTTTCTTTTCTTTTCTTTTAATTTTTTTTAATGTCGGGCGTTGTGGGAATGGGTACGAAGAGTTATGGTTCTTAGCGTTATTGGCTTTTGAATAGGATTTGATGCCTTCATAAAGCGTTTCTTTCTAGCTGGGTTCACGGCGATAACACCACGTTAACACAATAACTCCTTTTTTTTTGTCTGATCTGGGTCCAGATTCAAGGACATGCGTCAAGCGCCGAATGTTGTGGCCGTGAAAGGTAAAACCTTGATGTGTTGCAAGTGGGCTGGAAATCTAGCAGTTACACACAATGCCGCACTTTGTGCCAGTGTACATGATGGAATGTGTGGTTTGTTTCATGTAAATGAACACGAGCGCCCGGCCATGCGCGTTGTACTCGAAAAGCGCATACAGCAACAAGGTTGTATATCATACCATGACGTGCTTGACTTGCTTGTCGTGCATCGTCTTCATGCCAGATACATAGCGCAGTTCCAACCACAAACTACCTCGACAAGTGTACAAGTGAAATTCACTGGTATTAACATGATATCTAATAACTCTACAAATTCCAAGGGTAAGAAGGAACAAAAAAAACTCCGTCCAATGTCCTCGCCTCCCTATAGCACGGGGCTTCGACATGTAGACCCCACTACACGCATGAATATCCTACGCAGCCTGTCCATAAGGCGGCTGGCCCCCTTGATTCATCCTATTGAGCTCAACGTCTTGAAACTGATAGTCTGCCGGGCCAGCGGGCCGCTCGCCACGGTGCACAGCGCCAGTGGCAGCAGAGGGCCCCCGCGCGCCGTGTACATCGACGTCGCCCGACTCGCCGAGGTCGGCGGGCTCCAAGCGCTGCGGGTAGTCGTCAAGATTGTCGCCCGCGAAGCCCAGGCGGCCGACGCCAGCCCAGAAGGCGCGGTCGTCGCTGCGAGGGCCCCAGGCCCAGCCTGCGCCGGCCATGATGGGCAGGTGGTAGTAGCGGAAGCTGTATATGGCCGTGATGGTGCCGATGAGGAAGCCAAAGAGGATGTCGAAGCCGTGGTGGCGAAAGTCGAACCAGCGCGAGGCGGCGATGAAGATGGCCAAGCAGAAGGGGACAAGGGTGATGGCGAGGAGGTAGACGGGGGGCGCGGCGGCCTGGCGCCGCAGCGACTGCAGGCGCGTGTTGTACTGGGCGTTGCGGTTCAGGGTCCTCAGCTTGCCGGCGGCATCGCCGCGCAGGCGAGACTGCTCAAACGAGTCGCTGATGGCCGAGGGCACGGTGCGCGACGGGAAGGCGCTGTGCATGGAGTCGTCGAGCGGCGCGGCAGAGGGCACGACAAACGGCAGGGTGACGGAGAACTTGCTCGCCAGGAACAGCGACAGGTAGATGAGGCCGGCGGCGGACGCGGCCGAGTGGCCGCTGGGGTAGCTGCGGAAGCCGTCGTCGAGCTTCTTGCTGTCGGCCTGCTTGCAGATGTCGCCCGAGTAGAGCCTGCCGCCGGCCGCCTCCTGGCCGAAGCCGCCGACAATGTACTTGGCGGCGTTGGCGATGTCGGGCTCGCACCGCGAGAGCAGGTCGGGCCGCGGCTTGCCGCACATGTTCTTGATGCCGCTGATGAAGAAGAAGGCGGAGCTAACGGCCATGAGGAGCCCCAGCCAGCCGACATGCAGCTCCCACACCTTGCGTTTCCAGATGAGGGCGTAGCCGGTGTTTTTGGGCACGGTGCTGCCGGGGATGAGGATCATGGACACGAGGAAGATGACGATAACGGGGAGCAGGGCGCAGAGGATGACGAGGAGCCAGTTCGGCACGGTTTCTTTCTCGGTAAAGGGGAACCTGTGCATTAGGTTTTAGTTTTTTGGTCTTTTCTCCCGTTGCTCGCATGCTGTCTGTGGTGTCACGCGACCTGGCGGAGCGAGGCGAGAGGGTACGGAGACACTCACGAGATGTTGGGGTCGTCGAGGGCAAACGGCCGCTTGTTCGGCTCAATGCGTCCCAGGAAGCCGGCGACGACGGTAATGACGACCAGCACGATCCAGTCGAAGGCGTACGAGGCCAGCAGCTTCACGGAGAAGCTGCCGGCGGATGAAGACCCCGAATGGGCCATTCTTAGGTACTCAGACATTCGCCGTCACGTAGGGATTGTGTGCGGAGCAGAAACGGATGAGAGCAGAGCAAGGCAGAGGCGGGAATGGCCGAACCCTTAAAAGGGCAATGGCGGCAGTGTATTGCGTAGAAGCCGTGGTTTCGGCGCTTGTGGTGATGGGTGATGGGTGGTGGTTGGAGGCGGGTGGCTATGCGGCCATGTCACTGTGCCGAATCGACAGGTCCAAGGAGGTTGCTGGCCAGGTTGACACGGCAAGGTTTCAGTCCGGCGCTCTGGATGGATGGTGTGGAAGCTTAATTAATAGATGAGACCACATGCATCAATGGTGCTTTGGCGCTGAGGGTTGGAGGCGCAGCGCAGTCTGGTGGATGGACGGGCAGCTACCGCCTTGGTTGTCCCAGCGTCGTTGCTCACGGCAAATGTGTGCCGGATGGCGTCGTGAGAGTTGGTGAAAACAAGAAAGTTGAAGGGGCATTCAGCGAGAATACCATGTACAATGGGCGCCGAAGATGCAGGGACCGGCCGCTATATCTACTAGTGCTAGTACATATACCGTTAGTAGGTTCTCGCTTGGTGTCCCCGGTGTGCACCGCCGCCAAATCGTCGTCTGGCTGCCGCGCCACCGGTGGAGGGCACAAGTGTGGAATTCATTTGCGCAGCTGGCCTCGTCCTGGATTGCCGGCCAGCTGGAGTCAATCTGTCCATGGTCCATCGCACGGCGTGGACACCTCTCATCTCCAAGACATGCCAAGTATCACCTGTTTGGAGCGAGGCGCAGATTCGGGGTGGAATGGGCTCTTGACCTGCCGCGGGGGCCGCGAGGCGCAGTTTTCTCAGACGTCTGACACGCTGCCTGTTCCGCATCCCTCGCATTGACTCTGTATATGGAATAAATAGCTGCAATAAGCGCAATGCAACCATGGGCGTCAGCTTCAATGTTGGGCATTTTCGTCTCGACATGTCTTCAGCCTGACGCTGGGCCCAGTCTCGACACCACACCAGGAAATATGGCGCGTGTCAAGACGATGAAACTGAGGCGCACTGGAGCAGAAAAGAAAAAACGCCCACCTCTTTGTTCTGCTCTGGCGGCGCCAAATCAGCAGCCCGTCTCGGCAGGGGGAAAAAAAAGGACGAAAGCGCCAAGACTGGGCGTTTTTTGATGTTTCGGTTGGCGCCGCGTGGTAAGTCGTGACTGGCTTGGGAAAATCGCAGCGAGATCTACGTGATTTTCCTTTTGTTTCCCGTCTGGTTGCATGATGATTGGCTTGGCTTCCTCTTGTGCTCGGCGTTTTTGCCCGGGCCAAGCAGAATGCAGCCGTGTCGGACAACCAAGACACAATTTCTGACGCGCTGGAACTTGTCCGAGCCAAGGCACCGAGATGCTCAGCCATGCTCTTGTATGCGGTCGAGAAATACTGCCCAGCTGGAGGCAACCATTCGGGTGCCGCGCGCACGGGGCAGTGAGATTGAGTGAGAGTCTGCGGCCGGTTTTAAGCTTACTTTACGCAATCCTTTTTTAATCACCTATTATTCATCTGCCACCAGCCCTATTGTGTGACCACAACTGCCTTTGTTATTTTCGGTTCTCGAATGTGGCATCTTGTGCACTTTCAGCTTGGGCGGAAGCTGCTGCTGCGCGCTTGTGTTGCCACGGTTGGGGATGGGAAAACGGTCAACTTCCTTACGTTGCGGACCATGTCCACCGCTGCTCTGGCCTGATTCTGGTAGAGTGTAACAATGCTGGGTGGTGTAAAAGTCGCTTGGCCCGCTCGTGGGAGGTACACCGGTTACTGGTAAAGCCTGTTCGTGAGCAGAGTAACCGTAAATGGATGAACAAGTCATCCATCAAAGACGACAGGGCCCAGACGAATCCCGAATACGGTAATATAATCATAATGAACGGGAGACGATAATCAACTTGACCACGACCAGACACCTGTCTCGCTTGGCTCGTCTATATCATCTATATAGTACAGTTACAATGACCCATCGTAGTATACACAGCTCTCCCACAGGCTCTGCTCCTTTTTCTTTTAATACAGCACTATGCTCTTTTCTGCTTTTCCACGCCTGGTCTCTGCAAACTTCGACTCTCACCTTCGACGTGGCTATTCCTTTGATGATCGCTTGTCTCGTCGCTTGCCGTGGTTGCGGGGTCGGGGCGTGACAACCCATTTGTTGATGTTATGTGTGCGCCGCGTCTTGTAACCGCTCTTGGTCTATTGCATTGTTAGCTATACGCTGCTCTGATGACGAGATTGCTGGCAATAACGTACAGGTCTACCCCATGGCGTGACTGGGTTTCGGTTGCTCTTGGACTTTCCACGGCCACCACCGTGAGGATGGTCAACTATTAAATCGTCAGTCTCGTGTTTGGTTTCACGGCATTGTATATACGACTTACCCTTGTTCATGGCCACACCACGAACCGTCGGTCGAATGTTCAGCCATCGGCTTCGTCCAGCCTTTCCGAGCTGTCGGTAGTGGTGGTGGACGTTGCTGGCAACGCCAATGGTTGCGCAGGCATTCTTGCTAACTCGCCGCACTTCACCACTCTGGAGGCGCACCTCAACGTACTTGCCTGTCATGATCTTGGTGCCGTCATCCCTCGTCTCCTCATTCTTGTTCACCACCGTAGCCGAGGTCCCAGCACTGCGGCAAAACACGGCGCCGCGCTTCGCAGCAGAGCCAACCGCAAAGACTTGCGTGCCAACGGGAATCATGTGCATGGGCAAGCAGTTTCCACGGAACGCCGTTCGAGCAGCCAGAATACCCGGATCAATAATGCCACCCATGCTGTCTAGCAGATCCTGCGGAATACCTGAGCGATAACTGTGCACAATGTCACCGGCCCGCAGACCCTCAGA